CCAAAAAAGAGTTGCAGAGAGGAAAAGAGGAATGTAGTCAGCTGCTTGCAACTTAGGAGAAGGAAAATAAAACTTGGGAATAGTTAGTGAGATAGTTGGAAGATCCCATTTAATCCACAACAGTTACTATTATGCTAATCTTGAAAAAAATACTTAATTACTATATCTGCTTCATTGTAAAACAACAAGATTACAGGTAGAAGTAAAACATCCCACCTCTGTTATGGTAGTATGTTGTCTGTGTCTAATATTAAATAAGACAAATTAATTTGAAAAGTTTCAGGTAGAGCACACTCCAGGAGTGAACAGACACAAATCCATTGGCTTCAAAAGCAATGGATTTGGCTCTGCACAAGGGTGGAGGAGGATGCGTGCCCAGTCCAAATGCATCCTGGGCATGGATTTTGGTCTCTATACTGTTTCCTTTATACTTGCGGTAGACCTGTTTCGGAAGCCCCCCAAATGTACTTCACAGATTGCATTTATATTGCCTAGAGGTAGTCCCTGATCTATTCACTTCTGAACAAGCCTGGTCTGGCTTTGGAAGCTGAAACCACTGTAGTTCCAGGCTAGAAAAGCAGGTCATTGAGCCTGCTTGGCATTCAATACACAAGCAGTGAGAGCGATGGGGTAATGGAGGAGAAAAGGTCAGGTCAAATTTAAATCATGCATTGCTGGATGCTATGAATCTGATCGAGGGTGAGTCATGTTTCCCTGTTTCCCAAGAGAGGAAATTAAATCTGTCAGTTGCTTTTTACTTTTGAGCTTCCTACGCCATCAGAAATACACCATAACTGAACACAGCCCTCATAGCACCCCAGAACCACCCTTTTCATCGGCTATTCATGAAATGACAGTTCTGTTTTGTGCTAGCCCAAAGCCCATCTCCAGAACAGACTGAATGTCCTTATTATAGAATGACGAAAAATAAAGCCTCACTATTCCAGCACTGAGGGATCTGCAGCTCTCCCTGGGACTATTCCACTGAATTACAAGTGCCAGAAACTGCTATTTTAGAGCCTGCCCTAATTTCTTCTCAGAATACAATTAACCTAGTTTGCATTTGCCTATGACACCATAGTTAATAGACGGAGGCTTGTGAAAAGTACATGGGATTATCGCATAGGATCTTTCATGGCCAAAGGGGGTCACGGCCTTGATTATAACCATCATCTGACAGACGCCATCTCCAGCAGCACTTCACCCTTTAATGCCATTCTGTGACCTACTAAACTGGTATAATTTGGGAAGAATTTCTTCCATACTCTAAATTTGTGACTATTACAGGTGTTTTGAATCACTTAAGAGATCTTTTATTTGTATTACAGAAACAGCTACAGGCCTCAAATACCACAGTGAGGCACAATGTTAGATGCTATATGTCCAGAAAGAGACAGCTCTTGCCCTGAAGCGCTTCCTAAGATTACAAAGGGAACAACAATCTTATTGTTGCAATTTTACAGAGGGGAAACTGAGGCACAGTAAGATTTATGACCTCGGGTCCTACAACAAGAAGCCTGGGTGCATAAACTGGCCTGCATGGTAGAAACCTACAAGCAAACCTGAAACTTGCTGGATTTACTACATGATTTTTAACACATTTTTTGAAAGAGACAACTTATCTGGTTATGAATCTGAAGCTAACATACTAAAAAGCACCTTCCTGTTTTCTTTAGCCAGCCTTTACCCACTGGAAAATTCCCAGGTAAACGCCATGCAGAGACTACTTTAGCCTCCTTCAGGCTCACCTTTGCTGTAATTCCTTGTAAATCAGGTTCCTCTCCCCCTTCCTTCCTTCTCCTACTCCCTGGTACTAACGCCTCCATGCCTGCTATTTCCCCCTCACCTTACTTCTACACACAACCAGCAAGCCGAACAACAACAAAACCAAAAGTATCTAACAAGGTTATGCCAGTTCTCCATTATGTTATTTTGACTGTCTGTTGTAGCTGTGTCTCCTTTGTCTGTTTGGGTCTTTTATGTTATAAACCTTCCCAGACAGGGATTGTCTCATTATCTAAGTTTGCAGCCCTGGAAACTGAAATCCTCTCCCCCAGGTTGGGAAAGGTGCTGTGCAGGCAATAAAATGCAATGCCCTCCCCTGAACTGAAAGGCCTAACCCGCAGATGATCTCAGATCGCCAGGATTGTCTATTTAGTGCTTAGCACATCTTAGGAAAGGCGCTACACTGGTACATTTATCACTCTCTGATCCTCATGCTGCCAGGCTCTGGTCCTGTCAATTTAGGATCAGTCTTCATAGCAGAGTTAAGCTAGACTCTTACTCGGAGTTTGCCGCTAACCCTCTCCTGTCCACACAAAAAATCCTCTCTCTCAAGTTTGGTGGTGCTTTTATTCTGGCTAGCTGGCTCATTGGGAGCTATACGCTGAAGTCCCAATGTGCTTTCGCTGGGACTATAACCTGCCCACTGAGCAGTGAGGATGCAGGCTAAACCACTCATGAAAGCTTAGGAGAGCTATCAACACACAATTCCATCCATGCACCCAGAAGGACAGAAAAGTTCTCCCACAGTTCATTGGCAAGAATGGCATGATTCATCTTATTGTGGCACTGAAACTATGAGCTATGATCCTTGAAGTCCTGGAGACAGATAAGTGTATGTAGAACCAGGGTGGATCAGGAACACAGTAGAGCTTTGCAATTAGCTGCTCATACCCAGGTTAAAGCTGGTACTCAGGTTAAGGTGAAGGTCGCTCTAGTTAATTTGCAGTGAAGCGGTCTTTAGGGTTACTTTAGAATATACCAGCTGCTGTGAGCCTTCTGCCCACCCCAGCCTCCCCCCAGCAACAGGGGCAGTTCTGACAGCCAAATATCTCCAGAACACAGGGACGCTTTTCCCTAGTCCCAGTCCCTGGACAGAGGAAGCTGTGAAGGTGAAACTCAACACTGGGAGTGCCTCAGGACTGGTGCAAAGCAGTTGGGTTTAGCCCTCAGCCTGGCCTAGCTCAATTAAGAGTCCTTACGTCAAAGATGTTCTCAGTAATATCGAGGTACAGTATTTCTCTTACTTTGAGACAAGCTCCTGCAGACGTTTTGGTGAAAACTCCAAATATGTACCCTTAGGCCAAGCTGGAGTTACTGGCAGAACTGCACAGCGAGTTACAGCAAGAAATGCCTCTGAGAGGATTATAAGCAGTGTTCCATTATAAAACAGTGGCTCTCAACCAGGGGTCTGCAGCCCCAAGCCAGTTTCAGGGGCTGCAGGGCACCAGGGCTGAAGCCCAGGCTCTGAGCCCTGGTGTCTCCACAGTGCTGAAGCCAGAAGCAGAGCCCCAGGCAGCCTAGAGCCGCAGCATATCCTCTATCTCCCCAGGCTGAAGTCAGCTCTACATGTCTGAAACCCCAAACCCTGGAACTCCCTGTGGGCCTAAAATTGGAATCAGAACTATGGGGTTGAAACCTGGAGACCTAAGCATTTCCCCTCCCAGCGTGGTGTCTGTGGTCCCCTCCTCCCCCACATACAGAGGCAGAATCCAGGAATCCTGAACCCTTCTCGCCCCTTATTGGACTAGGGGTGTCAAATTGTGTTTAATCAACTAATTGATTAGTCGATGGATTAGCTGATAAGGGGACAAACTGTGGAGCCACAGCGGGGTTAGCTCCCAGCCTGAGGCTCTTAGTACATTTAAAAGGCTGATAGAAGCAGCAAGGGGTGGGGGAGTGACTAGTTGACTAGTCTCATACATCCCTACACTGGACCCTGACATTTTTATAGCATGCTGGGGAGGAGGGCTCAGAAAGTAAAAGGCTGAGAACCCTTGCTGTGAGAGACACATAGAAAAGACAATGGTTTAGCACTTCTTACCTGCGATTCGTTCTCGGTGTGCAAGAGTAGAATGTAGCAAAATATGAAGGAGGTGGCACAGGTGGTACAAAATCCTCAGGATCTGAAATGCGGCCTTGTTCTTCAACATCCTCGACAGACACCTGAGATTCATCCTAACCAAATACAATCTCTGTTAACCACCAAACCTCTCTGCGCTTGTATAGCGCACAAATATGCATGACTAGATTATCCAGAAGATCTGGCTACTTGTTCTGCAGCTCTATGATCATGCTGGCTGTATTTTATAAGATAGTGCCTTGCACTCACGTACTATGCAGGATCTTCTTGTTGCAAATATCTGCAAGTAACGCAGGGCAGCTGCCACCAAGCATACGGTGGTCGTCAAAGCATTGAGGGCACACAGAGCAAAGAGAACTTTCTGAGGAGCAAAAAAGATTATGAAAATGTACATCAAGTCCCTACAAAAGTCGAGGGAGAAGGACGACGACAACAGTAATAATCTTTGCAATCTATATTTTACTTAATTTTCCAGGCTGGCTAATTTCTAAGGGTTATTAAGGATCCATGAGGAGGCACAGAATGAAGGGGAAATCAGAGGAGGTTGCTAAAAAGAGTGTCAAAATCTTTTCCAACCAGAAATCCTGACTCGCCTCACCAATTTTCTGTAGGACCCCCTCCCTCATTTCTTGGGCCAGAACTCATAGACCTTCCCAATTAGGCCAAGAGCCATGCGAGAGGAGGAAGTGCTTGTCAACAGCATAGGCTGCGGATCAAGAACAAGCTGCCTTCCCAACTAGGCCAAGAGCCATGCGAGAGAAGGAGATGCTTGTCAACAGCATAGGCTGCGGATCAAGAACAAGCTACACTGGAGCTGGAAGCAATTCCTGGGCAAGGAAATGAGCTAGAAACCAAGGGGAATCGCTACATGGCAAAGAACAACATACTTTAATGTATTTTCTCAGAGCATGAGTTCTTTGGCACTGCTTTCACGGTACCTTGAGTAGAAGGTGAACAGCGCTACATGACTGGACTGGGTACAGCTTCAATGCATTCTCTTTCTCTGTGCATTTGGCTGGGTGAAATTCTTCACAGCAGAAACAAATCTTGCTTTCACCCAGGTCCACCTTTAACAGTAAGAAAAATAATGCGAATTATGATTTAACGTGCAGACTAATCCAATGTCTATGACTAGATATCTAATTGTAGCTGCATACGCTCTATTATATAGCTGACTGACCTAATCACATGCATACAAAATCAAAGCTGCATAGTTCAGTATGTCAGGGATTCATCTGTTCCATTAATGTCAGATGGGCCGGTGTTGGGAGGGGGGAAGGCACAGTTCCTGCTGGGGCTAGAGGCAGCGGGTCCGGCTCCAGTCTGGGGCTGGAGCAGTGGTGGATGCAGCCCCAGCCAGGCCTGGCAGGGTGGGGGGCTGGAGGCAGCGGCAGACGATATGGAGCGCAGCCCCACCTGGAAGCAGAGCCTATAGCTAGATAGGGAGTCTTGACCTTCCCTTGTCTAGCAAACTCCATTGTCTGGGACCACTCAGGTCCCCAGGGTGCTGGACAAGGGAAGTCCAACCTGTTCTTCAGAGGCATTGCTACAATTATCTAATTTCCAAGATGTTTCTGGCCTGTGGCCTATGGCTTCCTGAAGAACTGAGCAGTGAGATTTTCAATAAAGCATTAAAATTTCTAGTCTGAATTATTAATCTCCTCCCCAATATTTCTCTCAATATATTTGTGCTTGTGCAGCCCTTAACTGCTAAACTGTTTGTTTGTAAGCACCAGAATCTGATACCAACCCCAACTGGTATGTTCCGGAAGCTGCACTGGCTTCCTGTGAAGCAACAGATTATGCGTTACTAATAAAATCTAAGGGGGAAAAAATCAAAGGCTTTATAAGCCCCAACAGATCAACACCTATCAAATCTGTGGGATTGTGCCCCTGTCCCACTTCAGTTTAGTTTAGATCATTTTGTTGTGTCTTTTACATTACTGAGAGATTTTTAGCTTTTACCCTCCCTCTTTCTACAGAACACTCTTCCCTTTGAGAGTCATTATTCTGAGTATCTGGTAAAACAAGTCAATTATTATTACATAGTTTATTTAGTCTCACATTTTAATATTTTATTTTCAGGAGTTCTACTAAGTGTAATGAACTAAAAAAAGAATCCTGTCTTGTATGTCATCTTAATTAAATACAATTTTCCTAGTTTATAAGAATTAGGCCTAATTGCTCTTTCATGCTTTTCAGACTGCTTATTCTCTCCAGATAATTAAACAAATCTTTTATTGCAGTCATGCTCTTATCCAAAATCAGTGTATCAGCCAGTCAGGGCAGCGGTATCTCTGGGATCCCTTCCCAGATTCTCTTTTAAATGTGACTGACCAGCTCCATGTTGAACCAACTTGTATTTCAGGCTGCAAAAGGTAGGATATGGCTCCTACTATGTCCAAAAAAGCCACTCCAGGGCCAGCCGTAAGGGTCTGCTAAAGAGCAAGGGCATCATATTTCCTAAGGACTCCTCAGCACGACCAGCTCAGGGTCCAACAGCCTGCACTTGGATCATATGCATGGCACCCCAATGTGGCCACTGTGAGGACTGTTTAAATAACACTTCTAAAAATATATTTCCCTAGCAATCCTATACCTATTAAGATTTGTGTCAGACTTTCCAATAGCCAAATGTATTTATTTTAAACTAGTTTTAAAAAGAGCTCTATTACAGTGATATTGTGACCTTGGTGAACCATGTGCTGGCTTAGGCTAGGGGCAGTGGCTAAGAACTGACATACTCATAGCTGGGAACCAAACCACTCATCTGTATGTCAGTTTTGTTGAAAATAGGTATTAGTCTTGTAAGAACGTATTTAGCGCTTAGACTCTATTAAATGCTCGTAAGTTGCTGCATGCATTAATTTCACTTGTACTGGCTGTGTTCCATTCTATAAGGAAATATGTCACACGCTTACATTTAAGCGCATGCTTAAGTGTTTGGCTGTGTCAGAGGCTAAGTCAATATGCATTATTTTTAATTTTTTGCTGTTCTATGGTTGCACTAAACAACTCCTTGATTTGCTGCATAGATTAATCTATCAGCACTCGTAGGAATCCAGCAGTGCCAGCCACTCTTCTTGATAGAGTTACCAGGTGTCTGGTTTTGAACCGAACAGTCCAATATTTGAGCTTTCTGTTCAGGAAACAAACTGAGAAAATATCAATGAGAAAATATAAATGTGCAGTATTTTCTAAATAAGATGTAATGTAGATTGTGATGTAATGTCAAGTGCATCCGGTATTTTTGTTGAAACCATCTGGCAACCCTACTTCTTGACATGCAGTCAAGAAATACACTGAGTTATCAAGTCTGCTCACCAGGTCACATCTGGGTACACTGGACACAAACTGAGCCCCTTGACATCCTAGGATAAATCCAGCCAGGTTCAAAAGAACACAGACAACAGAGAGCAAAACAAACAGGTTAACCTGAAACAGAAAAACATAGTTAACAATAATGGAAACAAGAGTAGGAATTGAACTATGGGAAAGCTAATTCACTGAAAAATTACATGGATGAAATCCAAGTTCTATTAAAGTCAATAGCAAAACTCCCATTGAGGTCAGTAGGGCTATGATTTCTTCCCTAATATCTCATGAAAAAGAATTGACCTCACCAATTATTTTGGCCATGAACTTTGTGCAAAACTTGTTGTCTATCCCTTTTTCCTCAGAGTTTCTACAGCAGCTGACATATGCCCTGCAGGCCCCCACGTACAGAGACCTATAGTTACAGTAATAGTCTCATTATTAGCACTGCAAGAAGCAATTAGTTACTTTGATGTTTAGTGCAGTTTAAAAGAGCTGAAGGAGCTTTTGAAAAAAGTTTTTTAAAGGTTATTTTTCTACTAGTGGCAGAGAGATTTTCAGTTGATTCTCACAAATTGTCTGGGAGCCCTAGGCACCTTCATCCTGACTAGCTGAAAGATGTTCCAGCAGGTGTAAAGAGTGATTTGTAGAGATCCCAACTTCCATTTTATACCAGCCTCTCAGCACAATTGGATCATTAGGAAATTTGAGGCAGAAATATCTTGCAGCACCATTTATTCAACATGGGCAATTTTCAGAACTGTTTCGTGGGGCAAATATTTTAGAGTAACTGATGCAATACAACTAGGAAACAGACACATTCAAAAAATTTCAATTCTAATATTTTATTTCTCCTCTGCTACGAAAAACAGAATCCCTCCAGTAATGTCACAGACAATGTTTCTGATCTGTAAAACCATCATAAGAACATAAGAATGAATCATCTATTTGTTTTCCATCCCACTATTCAATGGATTTTATACACACTGAACTGAGCTTATATGTACAAAACACACTTTTAAACTCCAATTAATACAGGATCCTAGCCAATTTAATAAATGAGTTAAAAGTATTTCAATGTAATATGCCTGCCCTTGAGACTGCCTGCCAATTTTTGTATTATTACATTTGAATGTTCCTATTTTTCATTCCACTGTCCACACACAGACACCAAGAGAAACTGGCTAACTACAGGGGGAAACCATGATGACACAAAAAGGGCTAGTTCCAAAAAAACTTTAGGTACTTAATGCCATTTTAGATGCCTAATCCAATATTTAGACCCCCCAAATCTCCACTGTGCTGCCACCTAACCCTGTAGGTTCCTAAAGTCACTAGGTTTCCAGGGATAAATGCCTTATGAACCTAAATATTTACCCCTGGACATAACCACATCCACCTCAGTCTAGGCCCCTAGCTCACACTTAATCTCCTATGGAATCCTCAAACTAGGCATTAGGGATGTGAAAGGTTAAGTGGTAAATTGATGAATGTTAAACATCACCCTAAATGGATAATGCTTACGGATTCTGGTTAACCGGTAACCTGTGGGGGCCGGGGTAGCACTCTGCCTGCTGCAGGCAGCGGCTGCTCCAATGGAGCTGGGAGCAGGCAGCAGCACGGGGATGGGGTAGGAGCCCCGCATTCTGGGGCTTCTCCATCTGGGCTGGAGTGGTTCCCAGCCCAGATCCCGCTTTCTTCAGTTAACTGGTTAAACTTTAGGTGACCCTAACATTTAACTGTTTAACTGGGATTTTACATCCCTGCTGGCATGGCATCACCTGCCTCACCTGCAAGGCCTGAGACAATAGGCATGCGCAGGACTCAAACAAAACATCCAGAGGAGGTGATGGTTTGGCTGCCTTCACTCCACTTATGACCTTTAGCCCAGTCGCTAGAACATTTACCACGATGTGGGGTGAGACATGCATTTGGTTTCTCCCTCTGCCTGATGTGCAGCAGGATTTAAACTCATGTCTCCCACTTCTCAGGCGACTGTTCTGGGGCAGGTCTGCCTCACTGAACCTGGGTCTTGCACATCCTGGATCAGTGTCCTAATCACAGGGCTAAAAGTTACAAGTGAGAGGGCACCACCCCTTATTGGTTTTAAGAAAATGACAAAACAAGAAAAGGCTTAGGCACCTAACGCCAAGAGAGGTTTCACGGCTGGGAATCTCAGGCAGAGATAGATGTCTCACTCCAATCTAGATTTAGATAACTGAGGCCCTTTGAGGGGTGGGTTTTAGATACATGCCGTCCTTCAGCATTTTCCATCAAGTAGCTTAGGCAACCCCATTCCCAACTCCCCAATTTCTGTGAATCCCATTCTGAAGGAGCTAACTTTCCCCATGCATTATAAAAGCAGCATGACCACCTAACTCAGGACTGCAGATTCCACTAGGCAGCAGGGCACCGAAAAGTTAAACATTATAATGAGTCTACGGGTACGTCTAGACTACAGGGTTTTGTCGATGGAAGTTTTGTCGACAGATACTATCGACAAAACTTCTGTCGACATAGAGCGTCTAGACACATTCAGTTCTGTCGACAAAGCCCCGGGCTTCCTGGAATCAGCCGCTGATCAGTTTCAGCAGCGGCTGACTTGGGGACACCTGGGATAGAGCTGCTGGGGTGCTGCCGGGTTGGTCCCCGCAGCGCTGAGGTGCGGCGCTGCGGGGACCTACCCGGCAGTGCCCCAGCTGCTCTGTCCTAGGCGTCCAGATTCAGCTGCTGGTGAAACTGATCCATGGCTGGTTGCCGGG